GAGGATTAATTCCYGAGCATTACAGAAAGGTTATAGAGAGATTCTAACAGAGCCTACTTCAAGGTCTTGTACTGAGAAAAGCTAAATGCAGTTGATGACCTCAGAATTACTCAGATGATGATAGATGGCCAAGAGGAAATGACATAAATACTGAAAATATATACCATGTGAATTTGCATCTGATACAAGCAAAGGTTAAAAAATAAAAAGCAAAAAAACCCAACCCCCCAACTGTTTTCCCATGTTTCCAATAGATACTGTTCCCCTCCCTCCCYTTATCTATAGGCCTATTATTATTGTAATTGACAACTGATTTATTTATCCTTCACCATCTACTACACATTACACCCAGCTTTTTTTCTCCATTTGTTTACAGTATTTTGACACTACCAACTACTTTATTCCTGATGATGCTAAAGTCACTAATTTACTTTCAGGTTTACTAATGTTAATTTACTAGCRTTTACTAATTTAATGTTTACTTTTATTTCTGCAACCTCTGCAATTATCAATAATTTGAGGTGTAATTSCAGTGTGATATTTAATAGAATACATTATTTATTTTTATATATATAACATTTTTATATTTATAACATTCTGTATATAGAAATCKGACCATGAAATTACCTGAAGACAATTACTTTCAAGTATATGTTCCCATTATTTATTTCTTAGAGATCCAGTATGTTTCACATTTAGAGAGATAAATCCTAAAGAATATTGCAGGTATTTTTCATTACAATGATATAATGTTGCACCATGAAGCAATTCATAATAGTTAATTTTCATTTCTCATCTTCAGAAAGGATACACAGAACTCAAGTCTTACAAAACCTCTGCCAAGTGGTTATTCCTCTATTAATAATAAAAATATGCCAACTGATCCCCAGAGAAAATGAGTCATCATATTGTTACTCAATGCCAGAAAAACAAATCATTTTTGGCAAAACATAGGAGTAAGGTACTGCAATTGCCCATACACTGCATAATTTCCTTTTATTTAATAGACCTGTGTACTACTATAGGATCAGAACTCAGAACATGGAGGGACTTTTACAAGAATCAGTAGAACACTAGCTAACAAACGGAAGTAGAGAATATTTTATGTAATATCTATTTTGCAAGAAGATTTTCCTCAAATGTAAAAACCATGCACTACAATTCATCAATGGAAATACACATGTATGAAAATGAAAAAGAGTGACTGAACAGCACACAAGATGGAAGAAAAAAATTATTAAGGAAAATATGGAGAAAATAAACAACAATATTTTACCCTAAGATAATTCTTTAGCAAGGTTAAAAAACATTTTTTTAACCCCGATTGCTTCTCATGTTTGAATTTTATTTAGATATTTTTGTTTGAAATTTTTATTTTGAAAAATGTATTTTTTAATATCAAACTATTTTCTGTCTTTGTAATTGCAATCTGACTTTTGCTTAATGCTTGTTTTTAGCAGTGATTACAAAAAGAAGCGTTTGTCTGAGCATAACTAAGCTTGGAAAGCCTTAAAGTTTTTTKTTTTTTTTTCCTTCCCCTAGGGCCATCTGATTCTGGTGTGCCAGGACATAATAGTAAAACCCCTAGTGAATGTTCTGATGAACTGATGCGTAATCACATAGTAGCAGAGCAGGTGTTTAGCACAATTCTTCTTGCTTATAGCACACATCACAGTGCTTACAAATCTGATGTTCTAAACAAAGATTATTAACTTTACTGGATTTTTTTTTTCATAGTACGCTGTAATAATCTCAAAGTAATTATCCTAGTCGTCGTTTTGTATAGATCTACTGGTAAACATTTTGCAATATAAACAAGAGTGAGTACTGGTGCTTATTCAACAGGTAAAACTTCATTTCTTCATGCTTCCTGCTTTGAGTTCTATGAGACCTTAAGTCCCATTACCAGCACACATTCCCAGGAAAAAAATAAATATTAAAATATTTTTAAATCCCCAGAGAATTTATCCTCAGTAAAGTTAACCAGTGATAACTGCATTCTGCCTATAAACTCCTCTTTATTCCAAACTGTCAATGTGGCTCACCTARAAGAGAAGTTTGTTTTTTTCTTTATTGTGCAAAATAATTTCTATATCATTTATGAGATTCCTTGGGGACTTTACTGGCTGAAAAGCAAAATACATAAAATCAAGATTTTACATATTCTCCTCTCCACCTGCCCTTAGAGAAAAGGAGGAGGAAAGGAGAAGTCTTTAATAAATAGGGCTAGTAGAAATACTTTTTATGTGTGCATCCCAGCTGCTTGAACAGTTACATTTCTTGAGCAAGGCTCTCCTTATTTCAAGTAGCACAATCCTCAAATATACATATTCATACGTTGATTTTAACTTCCCATGGAATGTTTAATTGAGGCATATTATTTCATAGATATAATGCATGATGCCACTCATAAACCTATACAGAAATTCTACATAGCAGATTTCAAGTATTTATCCATCTTGCAGAAAGAATCAGAAGTATATACAGATGCTATTTAAAGAGTTGAAATACCATCTTTCAACAAAATTTTGCTGCTTTCATTTTGTATATGCATTTAATTTTATCTGGAAACTTTCTGACGTTAGAAATAGAACAACTGTAGTTTCTCATTATGTTCGCTGCCAAAATCTATGCTTGGTTGCTCAACTAAAGACCTTATATTGCTAATTACTACCACATGCCCATAATCCAAGCAAAGGAAAACTTATTGGTTCTGACAGCCCATTCTCTCAACACTGAATTCCAAATGAAAACCTAAATTTTGGCCAAACATAACATTTCATCAATCTTGTTTTACTGACTGCAAAAGCAACATCAAACGAAGGGTGCTAATGGCTTTTTACTGCGCAGTTCCCAAGCTTAGCTTCTCTGATGAAAGATCCACATGAGCAAAGGATTTCTTTAAAGCTCTTAGAAATTAATATTTGAATGAGAAAACAATGCATAAAGTAAACTGAACAGTCTTTGTGCTGATGACAGAGCTGAGTTTTAACCAACAAGTTACATGGGCAGCAGAGATCAGCAGRAAAAAAAAAAGCATTGAAGACAGTGAACAAAAACAAACGGATAGTGTGTATAAATAAAGCCAAAAAAATAAAGTGAGAAAATAAAATGAAGCACGCCCCAAAGCTAGCAGGAAGCCTGTGATCCGGGTTGAGGCTTTCAGGATGTGGAGTTCTGACTGAAGATCAGGACCAAGTTTAGAGACATCTGAGCAATGCTGGGTACTAGTGACAAAGTGGAAGGGGAGACWAAGTCTCTGTATGTAAAATGATTTTTGTTAGGCCTATTCTCCATAACCCACTTAGAGCCTCAAAAACAGAAATTAACATGAGTTCTGTGCCTAAAATATTTCTGTCTTTGAGGAAGCCACTATGAATATAAATATGAAATTGAGCCTGACTCTACCGGAAATAAACATTTCAGGAAGTTACTGCTCTCTCCTAGAAATACATTAAAATGAAGGTATTTTTTAATCTAGTTAAGTCAATTATGATGTAAGTTTTCATCACTAGTCCTTTCAATAAGAAAAATAACTTGGGATATTAAAGAGTACATTAAAAATACAAGTATTGAAGAAGTCATAATTGTTTGARTATTATTGAACAGCCAATCACGTGAGATACAATTAAATGCAAATCTTTGATTTATCCACCTGCTGATGTAAAYCTGTACTCTAGAATTAGCTCTGTGGGGCATTTAACCATTCCTGCCTCACTAAGAGGAGAAACAATTGATAAAATCATATCAACATCTATAAAACGATGATAGCATAGATGATGGTTTGAAAGCAACAAAATGAAAAACACATTTCTGAGAAAGGACAATTAGTTAGATATGTTGTTTGGAGTCTCCTTCTCTATGGAAAGGACTTAAATGACTCATATATTAGGGCCAATAGATCTCTATCAGCAAATGGCATAGTGATATGTAATAAAGGAAAGGGCAGGAACACTAACATGCGTCCAAGCATGTTTAGTTTAAGACAATATTACAGAAGATCTAGATTCTGGCGATGCTAGAAAGAACTGGTTTTAACTTGGTCAAGAAAACTGTAAGTCTTTCTGTACCAATAAAATGAGCTAATATGAACAAATTGGACTAATGAAATCCAACCATTACTACCAGCCAAAATGAATATTTTTTTATGTCCATTTAGTACTATGTTGATATTAAAACTAGAATTTGCTCTTCTTGGGCTATATTGTCCAGGATTTGTGGGATAATCACTTTAAAATTTTTTCTTAGATCCTAAAAACTTGTTTTAAAATATGTKTTAAAAATTGAAATTAAGTCTATAAGAGCTACATAGGATCTGAATATGCCATTTGGACAACAAAAAATTAGTATCACTCTTCTGATGTACTCACTGTAAGGGCATAACATGTACAACATAAAACTCATCTTGTACTCTAGTAAACCCAGTTTTGTAAAGAACTGAGTTATTTCAGTCATATGAATTATCATTGCAATGTAGCTGAGAGATGACCGTATGATAAACCAAAGTCCAAAGCTATGAAGTGATATGAAAACCTTGATCTAGAAATTACCTGCATATGCAATTGCAGAATTATTTACTTGTTGTGTCAATTTAGCCCTAAYGGTATTCAGATTGTCTTGAAGCAGGGACAAACTGTTGTGACTTGTACCATAGCATGGCCCAGGTCTCTAACCATAGTGTGACAACTCTTCAGGGGTAATATCTGATGTCACAGCGCACAGTGTTTTAAGCTGTGAGTCAGCTATTACCACCTTCATGGGCTGTTTTAACGTCACACAACCACACCTGGTCTTTTTTGACTTACTTTCTGCCTCGGGTTGAGTTAAAAGTCCCGCCGTATTTCTTCCGATTAAGGATGAGAGCAGCAATTTCTGGCACGTAGCGAGCAAACATTGCCTACATGCATGAAACAAAAACACAAAAAAAAAAAAAAAAAGAAAATGGCATGCAGAGAGTGTTCTACTGCAGCAGAGGCAGCAGAGCCTCTTGGGATACTTACTTTCTTCCACTAACCGCACTATAGGAACCACCATATTTCTTGCGGTTTCCTATTAACTCTATGATTTCAGGGACGTAGCTGGCAAACATGGCCTAAGAAGAAGATAGGAGACAGAAGAAAAGACTAAAAAGACAGGCCAAAGAAAGGGGGATGATGAATATTTTCAGAAGATATATATCTTTAAGATCTGAAAATGCAAAAGAATTTGATCTATGAAGGTATTTAAAAAGAAAATTTTAAAAATGCAAAAGTAAGTTCTTATAAAACAAAACAAGAGGGTTCAATGTAAAAGTTGGTCTTGGAAAAGATGCACACCTAGTAAAATAAGGAAATGGTCAAAACACAAAAAATAGGCACACAGAACAAGAACAAAATTAATTCAATCTAATTGTAAAATAAAGTTGTGTCTAATTCTTCTTTCAGAGGGAAGGGAAAAAAACAACTATCCAACTCCACAGAAAAAAAAAAAAAAAAAAGAAAACAAGTATTATTAATACTTTAACATTTCTATTTTAAAAGACAGACTTTTTCCCCCATGGTTAAGATTCAAAGAAGGCAAAAACAAGATGGAATGAGGGGTTTTCCCCCTCCCATCAAGAAACAAAATGGTGTCACACTTCCCCTCCATTCCTCCCTCCTCCCAAAAAAAAAAGAGGAAAAAAAAAACTTTTTCAAAAGTTTGTTTTTTAAGTTTTGGAATAACACATGATAGATAAAGGATAATAAGGAGAAAATAATTCTTTTTTCTGCCATGTTTTGTCCAACAAACATCTTCCTTGCAGCTGGATGCTTTGAAGAGCTACTGCCAGTTGACATGGTCTGTGCATTCATATGTCAACAATCATGATAGGAATGAATATGTATTTGCTATATATATTCGTGTATATATATATATATACATATATATATATATTTGTGTATATATATATATATGTGTGTGTCTGCATGTATGCACATGTATGTTCGATTTATCATTCAAAATACTTATTATATACATATCACCTTTGTAAGGTGGAGGTATTTAAGAAATCAATATACGGGGTGAATATAGCAGTACATAAGTGTCCGTATATGCACAACATTGTGAATGGTCTGTAAAGCACTTAACCTTGTATAGCGAAAATATTAAACTATTGTTTTAAAAAATAATATGGCTGCAGATGCTGTAACATTATTAGCAATGATAACAAGAAACTCAACGTAAGACAATTAGTAAGCTCGGTGTTGTGCATACAGAAGACAAAACACTTGCCTGACATACAAGGATATTTGTTGACCTAAAAGGATATTTGTTGACATACAAGGATGCTGGTCATGGCCATGCTTCATATGATTAACTGTGAGTTCAAGTTRTGGTATATGACATGAAAAGATGTTTGAGGTTAAAGATAACATAGTTTGTCAACATTGTCATCATCTGGATAAGGCAAGCTGCTCTTTAAGGCAGTCCAAAGCCACAGTGTTTGTTGGAATTCGGGAAGGAACACAAAAGGGTGGGTAAGACTCTTGAAACCGCAAACTGCCTTGAAATATCAGTAACATCCTCAAAAATGCACTACCACTACTGACACTTATAAGTAAACTAGAACTAACATTTCAAGTGAAAATGCTAAGACAGTTCAAGTATTCACATGCACTATTTAAATAGATTAGAAAAATTCTAATTGTAGTAAATCACAAATGTGRCAAGGTCCAGCAAAATGTTTAACTATACAAAAAGTATGGAGTATACTAATTCACATTTAATAAGCCTAATATTAKTATTGATTTAATTACAACTATGATTCTATATAGGATGAAGTAGAAGGTAAAAATGCATATGATGATGATAAAGAGCTTTTACCAATCCCCCAAGGATGAAGAAGACCATGAAAAGGCGACCAAGAGTTGTTTTTGCATAAACATCTCCATAACCAACAGTGGACATAGTAACCATTAGTAAATAAACACATTCCCAATATGTAAGCGGTTGGTTATTTTGGAAATTTTCCCATGGATCCCCTGAGTTCTCCACCTACAATGTACAAGAAAACACAGAATGAATTAATAAAGGAGTATCATAAATTAACCGTATCGATGTTATTTGTTTAACTTATCCAGCATACTCAATATCCTTTCCTGTATTTTTATCTGAACCAATATAGGACATAATTCTGTCCCAATTATAGCCTTACAGTTATTACAACTCACAAATTTCAAATGAAAACTACTTTCATTCACTACTAGAAAATATAACTCACAAAAGAAGCCAGATAGGTTCAATTTATTCCAACTTCTTCCACTCACTTTCAGTGTGAATCTTACTTCAAATGAAATTTTACTGGTTTATGTTTTCCTTTTAAAATATTAAGTGGTTATTAATGAGATTAGTGACATGTTAAGAAGCTGGCTACTATATATCTAGGTTTTAAATTTATCTCTAGGAAAGGAGCATATCCTCCATTATAGAGTTAATCCTACAATAAAAATATTGAAGCTATAGCAGTCCTAAAATAGAAAAGAAAATCTTACACTCAAAAAACACATATACTGTAAGAAAGAGCATTAGCTTCCTCCAATGAAATTAAAAACAAAAAAAAAAAGAAAACAAAACATTTGTTCAACGTCAAAATCTAGGAAAAAAATAAATAAATATAACAATAAATCACTAAATTTATTTTTCCCACAATAAAAATCCTATAGGTTATTATTGTGAAGAACAGCACCGAATAACACATGTGAACTCTGAATTTCATCTCATGTATCTGAATGYAGTTAAGGATAATTCAAGTGAAGTTAATTAAATTATACTGGATTAACAATAATACCATAGAAACTGTAATATTATTCAAAAACCACTGCTGAAGAGCTCTTTACCACTAACATTCTGGTATTTTCTTGTTTTTATGTTGATTATAAAACATACTTAAAGGATGAATGCTTAAGTAGATTAATTATATTAATATTTAACCATACTTAACAAATATATTTAATTTGACTGAATTTATTTTAAGACATTCTTATGCATTGCTTAAAGTTTTTGCTTTCTGCTTCAGGCAATACTTCAATGGATGTGTCAGCTCTCCACTATGCCAGGGAAAATACTCTTAAAATTTCATGGAWTATGCCTCAAGAGACTRGAAAGCTTGTAGAAACGATGCACTCAATAAGGAGAACAAGGTCCTGCTAAACTGGGCAACTGATTTTGTGTTGATGTTGAAGCAGGAGAAGGGGAAAAGAGGTAATACTAAACGCAGCCCGTCCCCWACCATCACTTTATACCACAGCTATTGTGTTAGTGTCCTGTACTAGGACAATCAATCCTTTCAGTTCACAAGGTCATCTTTACTGAATATTTTGCCAGTAAACTGGCAATTAATAAATAAATATGTATTTGTTTATTGGTAAAGAAGTTCCATTTTCTCCATAAAAATATCTGTAGGCTACTCAAAACACAATTCACGTTAATGCAATCAGATACTATTAGGTAAAATTGTATAAAATGTGCAAAACAGAATCATGTTATCAGCACCTGAAAAAAAAATCTGAAGTTTTTAAATTACAAAAAAAAAAAAAAAAAAAAAAAAAAAAAAAAAAAAAAAGATAATCTATGAGAATGTTACTCTGAATATTAATAATAATTTCATTACTTCTAGTAGAAATGCAAAATTGTTTTTTTCTGGCAAAATCACTCATTTCCCAGGCCATCATGAACATTTCACACTCTGAGAACTCCTGTCACGTTGGGTTTGGATAGTTCTTGAGGAAACATTGCCATCTACTGGGAATGTGCAATCATTGAAGAAGTTGCTTGAGTTAAGTCTAAAACAGATTTTACTACCGCCAAACATAAACATAAGGGTTAATGATGTGGATATCAGAATTAGTTTTGAGTAGAAGACTGAAAATTCAGACAGCTGTGATTTTTTTTTTCTCTCTGTAGATGTGTTAAGGGATTATCTGGAGCAAGGTAATTTGAGGTAATAAAGTAGCTTGGAGAGCAGATGATCCATTGAAAAAAAAAAAAGAAAAAGAAAAAAGAAATATTTTCAAATATACTTACCAAATGTATGAACCCAGCTGCTGTCAGCCATGTGCTGATAAATATAGAGCACAGATTCACAAGCTTGATGGAATTACTGTAAGAGAAAAAAAAAAAATTAAAAAAAAAATGAGAAGGGACATATACCAGATTGTTTTCTAGACATCATTGATGTATTACACCTTCGTAATATGTATCCACACAACTGAAAGAGCAAGATGATAATCTCTGAAATCTCTGAATAAGGTTTTTGATATATAAAAAAGCACAACCTACAACCTATGGAAAATCTCCATCATTTCATCTTTTCCCAGTTTGCTTTTGCCTCATTTAGATATTTTGAAAGAACTATCACATGGAGTTAAAGAGCAGCAATCTAGAGAAAGTTTCCATACATTTAAGAGCAGAAAAACTCAATGGAAAGAGAGAAATGGAAACCTAAACTACATTTAGGTACTCATATTCAAATAAGTGAAAAACAGTTACTCTTCATTCCAAAATAATTTGGTTTCCTCTGAGTTTCTTTCACCCTGAGTTCATCCAGAAAATGCCACGCGTAAGAAACTGCAGAAAAGATGCAAGTAAAGCTTGTTCAGTGCATCCTACAAAAATCAGTAAAATTGGAAAAACTATGAAGGATTTTCAACAAATAAAAATAAAATGAAGCCTATGTATTTCTGATGTCTGAATGATCTTACCAGCTTCTGGATCTTTATTGAAATTTGATCTGTCTTTCTTTGAAGAGCACGTTTCTGAGAGAGTATGATACCTTTGAAAATTCACAATTWTTCCTAAAGCAACATGCTCAAAAGAGAAGACCAAGGTACAATTTCCATGCAAATTACTTAAGCAAAATAGTTTCCTCAAGAAATATCACATCAAAACTTTAGTAGCCAAGGTACTGATATCCCTGCTGGTGAAATCAAAGCTTGCCTCCTGCAAGACAACCCACACTCTGGTATATCCGAAGGATCAATGGATATAGCTATGGAGTAAACAAAAATGAGATGATAACCAGACCAGTAGACTCATATTCCCTTTTAACTATGTAACATGAAAAACAATGCTAGTACAAGGGCATTGTTTTTCACTGAGCTACAAATAGAGGGTCTCCAGCAGCTTGATGCTGCTCTGTGCACCWTGGCACTACTCCTTCACTGCTATTGCCCTCCAAATGAGGTCAGCTCCAACCTTAGAATCAGAATTAACATTRTTCCAGAAAACATAATCAGTGCCAAATTAACATAATCAGTGTCAGAAATCCCCACACTTTTGCCGGGTATCCTRCAAAAGTATCCTGCAAGACGTATGCACAAAACGAGCACAGCAATTAGAACAGTATTCATGCACAAATTAGCTATCTGCGTTGAAGTATGCAGAAGACATATATATATATAWATATATAAAATACAGATGTGTGTGTGTATATTTAGATACAAAATATATAAATGTAAGTATGTAAGATGTCCCAGGAAAACAAGTTATCTTCAAGCAAGTTTAGTGGATCTAATTTCTAAGGCAACATGAAAAGTAGTGATATTCAAGTTCTTTTTTTTTAATTTTGATTTTTCCCCACTGGTTCTATACAAAACTTTATGTTTACTCACAAAGCAAATAATTTAATCGTGACAAGATCTAAAGACTAGAAATATAATTTAGTAAAATATATACTCATGTATGAACTACAAGAACTTCTTCTAGTGAGACATGGAGAATTAACTTACATGCTTAATTAGAAGCAAGCATTAGCTTATTTCATACTACATTTTTCAAAAATGCTTAAGATAGCTTATGACTTTAGAAGGATATATAAAAAATCTGATTGTGGAACAATTGGAATTTGAATAAAAATTCATAACTCAATAACAGCAGTTTTGCAGTAATACAATTAATATTCTGTTCATAAATACTTTCAGAACAATAAAAGTGCATAAATTTCTAAAAGTTGAGAAGTGACCTTGGAAAGTCAATCAGACATCAGCTTCATTAAAAAAAAAAAAAAAAAAAAAAGAATCAAGAAAACTAAGAGTTACAGTTAATGAAATGGGCATCTACGGGAACTAGGAAAAGATAATATAAGATAATGTATAATATTTGTCTGTAATAATTACTATACTCATTATTAAGATGTTAAACCAGCCATTCTGCAGTTAGTTAATGTTGACGCACATTAAGAAATGTTCCCTATCTCTCTCTCTCTAAAGTTGATATTTGATTAACATTCGTTGGTGATGTCATTCAGCTATAGCCTTCATATTAAACAAAATTATAGCATTCATGCTAATGGAAAGCTCCATTATGAAAGGCTGATTATCGTCCTTCACTTCAATTTGGGACAGGAGAAACTCCTGATGCTACAAAGTGTCTTTTGGTCATCTATTACTAATAATACAAGAAAATGACAACAGTCATTAACAATAGACTCTTTACATGGCTTATTAGGTGCATTTTATTTTTGGAGGTTCATTAAAAATTGTACCTTATCTGTCCTCTAAGCAACTGTCTTGTATTTCTGCCAGAGTCTAAATATAGATGAAGGATTAGTCACAAACATTTTCCTGCTCTCTAAGCTCTTTCCAGCATCTGTGTAAAATCCCTTACTGTGAGCACTGTCTAAGTCCCTGTAGTTTTATTGAAATGTATTAGAAAACAGTAAAGGCGAGAAAACATAATCAAACATTGCACAATTTATTCTATTTTCTATAATACAAGAAAAAATATTCTGAATAACTTGTACTTAATATCAAATTCGGGAAACAAATAGATTTTTGCTATAAGCTTATAGCAGGTTGCTGTAGAACTCTGCTTTGCCTTAAAGGTTCTCTTCAAATACACTTAATTTTGCAGACATTTTAAAAATGATCTAACATCCCCACATTATTGTAGAAGGGCTAGAAATTAGAAGGTACTGGTCTGCTCTCTGTCTCTATTTGTATTTATCTTCTTCTCCCTTTGGTTTCTATTGCCTTGAATGGCCCTTCTGTCCACCCTGTGAATGGGATTTCTTCCTCTAATCCTTATATCTCAATCACTACTTCCAGCAGTAATTTAAATTTAGAAGTTAGGGTAAACTCTATATTGAGGTGGCGGGAAAGGAGGACAGAATTTATTCTTTTACTAGAGTACCAAATATTGAAAAAAACACATCAGTGTTCTTCATACTTTGCCAGTTTCTCATCTTCTCAGTAGATACTGACAATTAAYACAAAGTGCACTGTACTGTGCCTATAGTGGAATTTGTTCCATATTTCTTCTTGTATGAATAGAATCACTGAATCTTTAAGGTTGGAAGGGACATTTAGTCATGATCTAGTCCATCCCCCTGCACATGTAGAGTCACCTAGAGCAYGTGGCACATGACTGCATTTAAGAGGGCTTTGAAGATCTCCAGAGGAGGAGACTCCACAACCTCTCTGGGCAGCCTGTTCCAGGGTTCCATCACTCTCACTGTCAAGAAATTTTTCCTTAACTTCCTGTGAAACTTTCAGTGCTTCAGTTTGTGGCCATTTCCTCTTGTCCTGTTGGTGGCCACCACTGAAAAGAGGCCAGCCCCCTCCTCCTCACTCCTTCCCATGAGGTATTTAGAGACACCGATCAGGTCCCTCCTCAGCCTTCTCTTCCTCAGGCTGAACAGGCCCAGCTCCCTCAGCCTTTCCTCACAGGGCAGATGTTCCAAGCCCTGATCATCCATGTAGCCCTAAATACATGCAACTTCAAACAGATTACTTTATTTTGGCATATTTTTTGAATAAAATGGTGATAACTATCTCTATTAAGAGAATTATTTCATTATTTCAATTTCAGTGTTAGGTATTACATTTCAGAACTAGTAATAAAATACTGAATATTGCTATTTCAGTTCAGCGATTCAGGCTCTGTCTAGAATCCTTAAATTTTCAAATTTACAACAATGTTAAAGAAATCATTAAAACTTCAGATGTGTATTGCAAYAAATGCTAAACTTTCTTAATACTTGACATTTTTAACCATCCCCAAGCAAAATTACATCTATTATGTTTAAATGACTGTTTGAAAACATAAAAGACAAAATAATTATTAAAGCTAAACAGCGRTCAATACCACCGTTTTGAAATATGTCCAGAATTCAGTGAAGTGCATTTCATTTAAACTGATTTTTTTCTTCTTTTCTCACTCTTGTAGAACTGCTAAAGATTGTCCTTTAACCACAACTGCTTAGCACCTTGATGTTTTTCTTAGAAATATGAATAATGAAGTCGAAACTCTCAGTAAAACATTACTTTGCTACTGGAGCAGCAAACCAGACCCACCACACAGAACCTCCATGCTAAATAGATTTTGTTCATGATAATACTTGGGATGCTGAAAGTACAAATATATCTCACTAGTTGTATCATTTTTTAGAAGTCAAATTCAAAAAAGACAATTAATAAAAAACTGGGATGCTTATATATTGTCGTTTGACCCATTCATTTTAGAAAATAAGAATTTCTGTACATCGATAGTATTCCAAATTATTTACTTCATTTCAACTGTATTAAGATATGTGAAAGAGCAGATGTGTCTGCCTATTCCTGGATTAGGAACAAGGATAGACATTCAAAATCATTTGGAGTCACTGATGGTTTTTAGATTAAATAAATATTGCAGTGACAAACTGCTAGGGGGTCAACCAGCTCAGTAAAACTGACATGCCGCCATGGAAGGAAGCTCTGCTTTAAATGTTTCTTAATAACCAGAATTTGGGATTTATGGATGCTAACATATTCACATAAATTACAATATCTAATCTGGGAAAAAAATTTGACACCAGACAAATACTATTTGAACAAACTGGTCAATTTTGGATATGCCAGTTTTGAATAATATGAATGTAGTTAATACAGTATCTCTTCATTTACAGATCTGGATAATCACACTGTTGAAGATTTGTAACATTTATCCAAAATTATTTGAGTTTGTGGGAATCTTCCACTGACTACTAGGACATGGTGAGGTGGGTTTTTTTTTTTTTTTTTTTTTTTTTTTGCTATTAAATCAATGTAGATTTATCAGATACTATAACCATCTGTGAAATTATTCTCCTTCCTTACTGAACTGATAGTATTCTAAATTCTTGGGTTGTATATTTCCTACACGTTCATAACATAATTTCTGACAAGAACTGCCCATATTTTCAAAAATAAGAGTTTACAGCAAGGAGAAGAGCTTTAAAATTGAGAGTTGAAGGAAACAGCTGTATACCACAAGTCTATATACTTCTCAAGAATCTATTTGCTCTTCACTCACAATTAATGTAGCAAATACAATTACTAGCATATAAAGTCCTCACGCATATATCTTCACCTGGGGAACAGAAGAGATGTAGGGAGAYAGAGTGAAATATTTTAGAACTGAGTTCACAGTAATTGAAAAAATAAATATCAGAAATTACCAGATATCAGAAAATATCAGATATTAGGTTCAATGCTTCAGCTGCAGTATTTTAGTAAATGACAGGAGACAAAACCTCTGCAACTGTGAGCCAAATATTTTTTTTCAAGCCGTTCCAAGTGAAGTACTTGTAACAACTGCAGCCCCTCCTGCTTCTCCTCCATAAACACCACGTAGACTCAGTGAAAGAAAGGAAGTAACCTAGAGTGTTTTAGATATTATTTTAAGGGAATACTAATGATAATGAATGCAATACAAAGATAGGTGAGTGTAAAATTAGTTTTTAATATGTTTTTCATGTGTGAAGAAGGATGATCTGTTCAAATAGACTGAAATAGAGCCACTATGATTATTTCTTAAAATGCTTTTTAGCTGTAATTCGCTGAGTGAATTTCAATTTCTGTTTTTTTTCCAGTGCAAGCATATTGACAGGTAATGCAGGAAGAAAGAATATTTAATCATTGTGGAATTCTGTATTTCATTCCGTACTCTGTATCACTCTGATATGTCAGGTGTAAAAATCTATCAAGTAAAATATCTCCTCATCATATGAATGCTTATATAAATCTTTCATTAGCAGAAAAAGGTTTAAAGATAGTAAATGTTCTTCTAAGGAAAGTAAAACATACATTAATAGAACCAAAGACCTAAATCATTCATGTTCTATCACTATTGCAACTACTCAGAACATAAGGAAAGGGCACGCAAGACTTACCTTGTTTTAAGAATATTCAGAAACTGCAAAATTTCTGAAAACTGTATCAGTCTAAGGGCTCTTAAAAATCTTAAACCTGCATACAAAAAAAAAAAAAAGAAAGAAAAAAAATTAGCTCTACTACAGAATAATCCAGATTATAGAACATTGAATTCATAAGGACTGCAATAAATGAAATCAACGTAAGTATCACACAAATTATCAAATACCTTTGCAGCATTCTTCCATACTTAAAGGTTCAAAGATCCTGATTGGGTCTTTTTCAAATTATTTTCAAATTCTTTCTTTAATACCTGAACTACCCTACCAGAAAGTCTTAAACTGTGTAGGAAGCAATGGAAGGAGACAAATGAATAGAAAGCTAAGGGGAGAAAACCCTACTGAGGTTCAGTGGCAGTACTAGTACACATGTCCTCTTCCAGACTGTTAARAGTGCCTGCAGATCTGAAACTCCTCATTTCTCCAAGTTCCCACTTGGCTTAATAAAAAATAACAGATTATGGTCAGAAGACCTCATAACCTGGCTAAACTAGACTGTGAATATGCCTGATTAGATTGGTAAATCTTAATGACGTAAAAAGTTTTTTATTATAATACTCCTTATCTTCACCCTCGTTTTCAAAACCTTAGGCAGAAGAACTGAAGCACACATGCCATCTCAAAAATTACAAATTTAATATAACCTTTCCACAAAGCTAAAACTATAGCTCCAGATTACACACTGGTTACTATAGACACAAATACTTTTATAAAGATTTTGTATTTAAACCAGGTTGCCTGAATAGCAGTTTTGCAGATAATAGCAAAGCCAGCCAGTCTTACAGCAGGAGAGGAAATAGATAGTGTGTACTCAAGAGAAAATACCTTAAAAGATTAAGGCTTAAATTATTAAGAGATACTTATGCTGATATTAAATAATTTTGCTGCAGATCTTCAGCATATGAATAAAGGTACACTGTGTATTATRCCTATATGCAGCTTATAAAATTAAATGAAAGGCTTTGAGGATAATTTTTAGTAGACAGCAGAGCCAAGTTACTTAAAATTGCATAACTTGGTATTGTAACTATTAGGCTTAGCTCCAGGGCAGCATATGTTCTCTTTCTTTCTATTTTACTCATTTTTGATGCTGTAAAACTTTTTATTTCTAGAGACTTAAGAGACTTCTAGAGACTTTTTATTTCTAGAGACTTTATTTCTAGAGACTGATCCCAGCAAACCTATACATGTGCACAACTCAGTGGAGTTCAGAGGTTTTCTTCATTAGCAGAGATGCTGTTATCTGGCAAGATGCTTTTTTGAACAAGGGCTTAATTTCCACAATATTCTAGGAAATCTCTTAAACAATATTTTTATTCCTGTTAAGACTTATAAAAAGCCTGAACGAAGTAGAAAATTACTCCTGCCTGTATGCCAAATGGATATAAAGTTTATTTTTTTTAATTAYTGACTCCTTGGAGAATTCTAAGAATTATTTACTTAAAAAGTGGATGTGGTACCTAGGAAACAAAGCAAGAAATTGATGCTTAATTCTAAACTTCACATCCCTTAGCAAATAAAAGATGAACATTCAGGATTATAGTTTTCAAACTGAGAGAAACGTCTCTGTACTCAGCTTCCAGTGGTTCTCACGATTTGTACTTATTCCCTTTCAAAAGGCAAGTAGGGTAGGGACGGAGCAGAAGTCTACCAGCCATACTGACTTTTCTCAGCTCTGTTCCATCCAGCCACATCACTCAATCCACACCCTAGGAACTTTTCCGAAAACCATCATTATGAAGAAATACCTTATTTCAAACAAATTACATGGCATTTGAGATAAGCTAATGGAGGAGAGAAGACTGTTACTTGTTGCAATGATTAAAAAAAAAAACTGGGGAAGAAACACATCTCAAAATAAGACCTCTATTACCAAACACTAACAATGCTTAAGGTATGCTTTAAGTTCTGAGACACCAAATGACACACCAAAGAGAAGGTGGTTTTTATGTATTTGCTGAAGATGAAAATCATTACAGACTGAATTCCACGTTTGCTACTGCCTGTATTACTTTAAAAAAAAAATTCCTAGAGAGACTTTTGGTATGCAGGTAGCCAGCTTTCTTGATCTACAAACAGAATGCCATGTATAGGAACACCTTCTAACCTCTGTATCCTGTCTGGGAGATCCTTTATGCAACTGTGATTTACAGTTAAAGCACAGAAAGGGTCAAATTTCGATCTTCGGAAACCTCAGTGTATTACCTGCTCAGTATGGTTCAAATATGGAGAATAAAAATGAGATGAAAATTACAGTTACAYATATCCTGATGGCAATGAACCCCTTTCAGCATTCCACCATTTCYAAGACCTGAACAATTTTGATATTAGTTTTCTTTACCTGTGCTCTTTTATAGGATTTTCTGACTTGCAAATATTGAGAGTTCCATTATACTAGCAGCAATAGAGAATTCCATAGGAATTTGTTTCTATGTAGCTTATAGCAGCAAGATATTACAAGGTGTATGTCTCTATGAAAATACATTAGGAAAAGGTAGATCTTCTACATGAGATACCAAAAACTTCAGAGATTATTACCATGATTTTATCTGATGCTATTTCTTCATAGTTTATAGATACTACAGAAAATATTACAAGAAAAACTTTTCATGTTTTATTAGCTTTTGGAGAAAAACTGGACATGCTAAAAGATTGTTAAAAAAAAATATAAAAAAAAAAATTGAATTGTTCAAAAAAGTCTCCTGTTAAGTAAGTATGTTTATGACATAAAGTTGAAATCATTTCATGTTAACATACCTTTGGAGCCTATAAAAATGATGAATTCCAAGCACTTTCTATGTCCAAAGAACTATTATTATTTTCAATCAATGTAGAGGCATTATATCAAACAAAACTCATCAGCAGAACAAACACTGGAGGAAAATCCTTTTGTTTGCCCTGACAGTCCCCGCTCCTGCCCAAGTGCTTAGCAAGGACTGTAATCTGCCTCGGTGGGAAGGAGCGKTAGCGTGCTGGATTTAATAATGAAACTACTGGCTCCCTTTGGAGTTTTGTAATTCCCTTCAGTACAACAGCTAGCCATCTGAGGGCTTTAAAATCCTTTTGGCGCTGACTGATGGTGCTGTCAGACAGCAGAAAAAATTYGCTTCAGAGGAAACAAGCAGAGGCTGGTTAATAGCATTCTCAGCACCAGCCAGGGTTAAGACATGCAGATAGTTTGCAAACAAGCTGAAAGGCTGGCAGCTCAACAGGGAAGAAGCCTGTTTCAAGTATGAAAATCAACAATATTCATAACAAATAGGTATGCCAGAACATTGTAACAGAATACTATGAAAACTGACCCAAACAAAAAGAACTGGATCATGCAAATGAGAGCTGCAGATGGTAGGTTGGACTAACCCTGTCTCCATGTACTCATACTACCTTGCTCCCAAAGGTGAAGCATGCAAATGCTTATTTTTTATCTGCAAGTGAAAGCCACTACTATTGAGACCAGTGTTCATTCCCCACCTAGTACAGTGAAGAGWCACTCAGCCAAAAAACTCTACATAGTTAAGTGAGGAAAATCACTGCACAATGTGCACAGCTCCCTTGTAGTTCATACGGTTTGCACACCTTCCACAGCCTTTAGGCCAACCACTAATATTACCTGAATTAAAACAAACAAGAAAGAGGAATTCCCCTTATTGAACAGCTATGTTTAAAAGCCAACAGTGTCTTTGTATGTAGGTGTTCAGCACTGTAAGCCCTGTGCAGTAAATTGTGTGTATTTTGAAAGACTGCAGTTAACTCWGAGGATTCAGTCTTACTCTTCAAATAGATTGCAAAAAGCATCTGCTGGGGAAAAAGATTGTAAGCATAAAACTCAGTTGAAATGACTTTGCCCTTAAATATATGATTATCAGTATCATCTTGTACTTCACAAGGAGATGATGAATGAACTGAGTATTTCCCAGAGGAAAAGTCGAAAAAGCACTTCAAAACTGGTGCTAGTACTAATGACACGCCAAAGTGCACTTGCAATCATATATGCATCTGTAAGCTGATCATAGAGTAATCTCCACACCAGCAAGCCTGTGGCACTGAAACTGCTGTCAAAATAAAAATGGGCTAAATTAATCAGTAAGTATTCCTGCTTCAGCGTGACTTTTTTWAAAAATGTTCAATTTCCATGAATCCACAGAAAATCTTTTCTTTTTAACTTGCTTTTATTTCTGATGAGTCTAACTTTGGAGCAGTAATTGACAAAAGTTCCATAAAGAGAGGCCCAGCTCTGAAAATTAACTGCATGCAAAGAGGAACAAAATCCTCTACGACTATTTATTTTACTGTTAGGAAATTACTGACTTATTCATAACTCAGACTCCCTGTCCCTCCAACYCAACAAGATGAATAATTACAATTCTGTAACAGGAATGCTATTAAAAATTTTACTAATTTTTTCAATGCTCTATATGTACTGTTAGAAATGTGTGCATCTCTTCCCTCCTGGGAGTGCTTCTTATTCACATAGGGAAGAATTATTTCTTTCAACCTGAAATTAATGTAAAACAACTTTTTATTTAAATAATATAATTAATAGTTCAGGTTGCATCAGTTTCATATGTACTTTAATACAGATCTTTCTATTTTTGATATTTAACTGTATCCTGTCTTCTAAATCAAKTAAGGAAACTGCTACATGGACACTCACCTTTTTCTTATCAAYACATTTTATATTGGAACTTTCTTATGGGATCTGACTTGAAGAAAACTATAATTCTCTATATTACAATGTCTATATAAACTAAGTATACAGATTTAATATAGGTAGAAAAACTCTGATCTCTGAGAAATATACATACGAAATCAAGCGCCTGATATTGTTGATCTACTCAAACTGCTTTTATAAAAACTCTTACTCCACTCCACGTGTACTAACATAGCCATATGAAAAAGTAGCAAAAAAGTAAATATTTATGCTTCTCACTACTGCCATAGAAATAAAAGCCTTCTATTCCTTTGCTTTACGACAATGATACTCTAGTAAAATGCAGTAGGCTTCTGCAAAAAAAGAAAAAAGACTTCTGAAAAAAA